CTTGCAAACGTCAAGAAGTTGAAAAATTCCTCTCAGCGGTTCTACCTTCCTATTTTTTTATCATGGGTTTAAGAGTTCTATAAAGTGACATTTTTATACAAATTTTCGATTTATAAAGCAGTTAAATTTATTCTTTAATTTTTATAAAATTAGGTGATAGAATATAATATACATACAATAAAGATAAAGAAACGGATAGAGATCAAGATAACGAGACCAAGATAAAGACAAAACTGAAGATTAAAATATGTTATGCTATTTTTCTTCCTCACTTCACCTCACCTCAACTAACTTTAACTCACCCCACCTCAATTCATCTCAACTCACTGAAATCACAAATCAGTGAATCAAATTTCAAATAAAATTAATTTCTTGATATGTGAATTGATCCATTTAAACTCACTCAAGATAGTGTTATGATTTGTTATCTTTTGTTATGGTAAGTTAAGTAGATCGAAACACACCACAATCAGGATTATGAAACGGATTTGGTAATGAATCAAGAGAAATTTCACTTCACTAGCGCGGCCTACATTTGGAAAATGTTTTGTGTTTTTCTCACATTTATTTAGAGTTTTTCCATAAAAAGTTTTATATACAACCCCTTTCGTGTGTTTACGGGTATCCATCCGTTCTTACCTAACCTAACTTTTCTTTTATTCTTTCTCCTTACTTTCAGTTGCCACCGCCCGCGCGACTCACTGTTTTCATGGAGTTCGGGTTTTAGTAATTTCACCGGTCTTGTCAATTGGGGTTTCCTGCTACTAACCATTGGGGGATTCCGGTTGTGTTTAGAAAACCTCTTGAAGTAAGTAAAGAGTTTGTCAAGAACAGGAATACATAGCATATAAATATTCTTGGCAAACACAGAAAGAAATGGCAATGTCTTGAGACAAAATTTCGCATGATCAAAATTGCTTATACGGCCTTTTAGTTATGGTTTATATAAAAATTCCATAATAAAAACTAAATTATTTATACTTTATCTCTTAGATATGGCATTAGAATAAATCCCCTGGATTGGTATTACGTTTTAAGTGGCAAGAGTGAAGGACAGGAAGGGCATGCGTCACTTTTGTTGATTTTATGTAAGTACTAAACATAAAGTTTATGAAATAGGGGAGAATTTCACTTCAGAAAATTATGGGCTGAAAATAAATAAAAAGGGTTTTAATAAACAAAAACAAAAAACTAAAAAAGATGAGCGGTTAAATATGAATAAATTAAAATAACGACTATAACATAAAAAAAAAATTGTTAAGTTTTAATAAAGTTAATTTCATAAAATTGTCAAATATTCGTGAATAAGTGTATATTTTGCATGCACTCTTACACTAGTGTACATATTTATACTATATAAAATAGCCCATATACATATGTATGTACATTTTATTTGTAAACAACATTTATTTACAGACTCCCTGGTGCACATCTCCATTTGTCTGATGGTGGAAAAGGGTCTAGCCATGGTGAGTAAGCAATTTTCTGTGTTGACGCAATAGGTATTATATATTATTCAATCTCATGTCGGGTAAAGTTTAATGAGATAAGGGATTGAACTTGAATCCTATATAAAGTAATTAGTATGAGCGCACATGCAATGGTGGTTATTTAAAATTAGTATTTACACTTGTTTTTTTTTTTTGTTTTAATTGTTCCACGACGTGTTGAATATTTTAAAATAAAATTAAGTATTTTCATTTGCGCTCACAGGGTGAGGCGATTTTGCAGTCGGTTAGTTGAATCAAAAGTGGACTGCCGACCAACTTCGTTGAAAGCGATTAGTTGAAAGAAAGGCCATTTACAACAGGCGATTGTTGCTTCCAATGAAAAGTTGTCTGTAAAATCGCCCTTAAGCTGGATTTACATGAGACGATTTTCTAGGTTATATTTTATATAACACTGGTCTACAAATTTCAACTTTTTTTCTGCGAATAAGACGGGACCTGGTGTTTCTGAACGGATTTTTCGTGCTGAACACGAATCCGGGGTCAAAAATGTCCCATCACGTCACGTTTTCGAGAAAAAAAGGGGTTGAAACCCCTAAAAACAGCGTTTTTGGCCATTTTCGAAAAATTATAGCTGAACACAAATACACCCCCTGCTTTAAGGGTGCACGCGATCAATTCGGCATAGGGCTCATTCGAAAGGGCACGGTTTAGCCTTTAATTTCTGATATATGCAAAATTTGTACCACGTCAGGGTTCAGCTCTACAATTTTTCAAAAATGGCCAAAAACGCTGTTTTTAGGGGTTTCAACCCCTTTTTTCTCGAAAACGTGACGTGATGGGAAGTTTTGGACCCCAGATTCGTGTTCAGCACGAAAAATCCGTTCGGAAACACCAGGTCCCGTCTTATTCGCAAAACCCTTGTAGACCAGTGTAATTATTGAATTAAAAAATGGTTTTCAACAACAACTTTGGCCCACGACTGGCGCTCGATAAAAGATTCCCACAAGTTACTAAATATTTTGCCTGGGTAATATCGTACTTTGATGTTAGTGCATTAAACTTCATCTGTTCAGCTGAGACAAAGGGGCGTTCTGCAAAAGTTCACAAAGTGTCTGGGCTTTCTTAACAGATGCTGCGAGTCCAATGTGGTCAGGGTACGCTATGACTTTAACAACAACAGACAGTAGGTAAAGTAGTTTGAAAGATTTGGTTTACTCTGATACGATAATATCATTTTGCTCGCGATGCTCCAACTGTCGCAATGGGTGAGTGAGCAAAGCCATTCGAGAGATCCGAAGTTCGAATCCTCGGCAGCGGAATTATTTTCTTTGTTTTTTACTTAAATTTTGTTTCCTTTTTTAATTAATTAATTAATTTTTTAATTAATTAAAATTTAATTTAATTTTATTGTTTTAAAAAGAAAAATATATATTTTTTAATTTCATTTAGTTTTTAGAATATTATGTTATGCATTTCTTCATTTAATTTTCTTTTAACTTTAGATTTTATTGTTTTTTTTTAAGAAAATTATATTTTTTTAATTTACTTTAGTTTTGAGAAACTTATTTGTATTTTTTCTTTTTTAATTTGATTATCTTTTAAATTGTATTGAAAAAAAAATATTTCATTTTATTATTGGGATCTTTTTTCTTTTTAATTCAATTATTTGAATTTTTAGCTTTTATTGTTTTAGTAAGATAAATATTTCTTTAATTTAATTATTACAAACTTTTTTTTTATTTTTTTTCTTTGAGGTTTTTCTTTGATTAGTTTTTTTTTAGTTTTTAAATTGTATTGTTTTGAAACGAACAATAATTCTTTTTTAATTTCATTTAATTATTAGGGCCTTTTTATTTTTGCATTTTTTTACTTTTATTTCTTTCTTATTAAATGTTTTTTCTTTTTTAAATTTAATTTTTGTTTTTTTTTATACTTTTAAAAAGAAAAATATTTTTTTTTTCTTTAGTTTTGAGATTAAGTGGTTTTATTTTTCCTTTAATTTGATTTAATTTTCTTTTCACTTTTAGATTTTATAGTATCAAAAAGTTATATTTTTTTCTTTAATTTCATTTAATTATTAGGAACTTATTTAATTTTTTTTATTTTTTTTTTAATTCAAGATTTTTTTGTTGCCTTTTTTAATTCTTTTATTTTTTTAACCGACTTCCAAAAAAGGAGGAGGTTATTAGTTCGTCGGAATATTTTTTTTTGTATTTATGTTACCGCATAACTTTGGACCACGTCAACCGATTTCGATAATTAATTTTGCATCGGAAAGGTAGTGTCTCAGAGGTCCCATACTAATCTGGTTTAGAGCCGATCATTGGATCATGAAAAAATTAACGGTACTCCTAAATTTGTATATGAGAATTGAAGTCGGTTTTGTTTTTTGCTTAAAAATTACTTGTTTAATTTGATTGTTCATTTTTTCGATTTTATTATCCACTTTTTTTAATTTCATATAATCAGTAGCACCTTTTTAAATTTTTTTCTTTTTTCACTTTATTTGTTTTGTTATTTTAAAAAATGGTTTTTCTTTCTTATGCTGGATTTCCACTAGGCATTAAATGGCAAAAATGACAAAGTTGGGCATTAAAAAATATTCGTGTTATTACGTTAAAAAATTGTCATTATGTTCATTTCCACATGGCATTTTTTTAAATGGCATATATTTTTTGTCATTTCAATGCCTAGTGGAAATTCCTTTTAAGTTTCAGATTTTTTTTTTTAAGAAAAAATATAAATTTTTTTAATTTCCTGTAGAGAATCTTAGTTTGTATTTTGTCAGTTTCAATTTAATTAAATTTTCTTTTCACTTTTAGATTGTATTGTTTTAAAAAGAAAATATTTCTTTTGTAATTTTTTTGTTTATGAGGAACTGGTTTTATTTTTTTCTTTTTTTTTTTAATTTGACATATGCTTAAAATTTAATTGTTTATTTTTTTTTGATTTTATTGTTTAAAAAAGGAAAATATTTTTTTCATTCATTTAATTTTTTAAAACTCATTTTGTTTTATTTAATTCCTTTTCTTGTTTAGTGTTTTTTAAGAAATATATGCATACATATTTTTATTTATTTTTTAAAAAACGTATTGCTAACAGAAAAACAGAATAACGCTAAGACCTCCTCGCTAACAGATCTTTCAACTAGTCTTTCGAAAGAGCATTTAAGATAGTTGCCAGAATCGACTATTGTCTTACGAAAGAGTGTGATGAGTTGAAAGACGGTTGCCAGAATTGCCCTGTAAGGCCTCTCTAGTTTTGGAGTGCTGTCCTACTGCTTCGGAGACCTGGTAATCAAGTAATAGATAGCTTATAAACAGAGAGTGCACGAACATCCCAAGACGTGAGAATGAAAATAATTAAGGTGCCTTACCCGAAGGCTCTTCTGAAATCTCTGGGGATTTTAGATTTGGCTGTAATTACATCGTCCTGTGACAACTCGATCACCCAATCTAACAATAAGTGATGTTAGTCACAATTACCCTAGCTAGTTTAATCATTCAAATCATTATCTTTAGTTAAAAGTTATATAAAAAATGCACTTACCTTTTTCATCTCGGATGCACGATACCTTACGTATTAGAACTTTGCTTGCTATGTCTGGAATTTGCCTACAAAATTTATGCATTTCTTGTTGATATGGCTGACTGAAGATTTGCACTTGACCTCTTTCAAAATTGCATCAATAGTTGCGGAATTTAGCGATTTTATAAATTTTCCTTTTTTTGATTTTTGCCTAGGAATTTTTGTTTTGCCGAAAATTAAATTTTTGAAAAATTTTGTCGTTAAAATTTGGATGAAAACATTTTTATAATCCGCTTGAAATGCCCCATTGACATTATTCAGACGAAATTGAAATTTATTTCAGTGATTCTTGTTGAAAACATCAACCCAAGCAGCGATTAGTGGATGAGGAAGGTGCAGAGCATTTCATTTGTGGATGAACAGCATTTGCGTATAGCAACATTTTATGACGAGTTTCCAGAATTTTAGATGTAGATAGCATTCGTGTTTGATTGGAGTACTTTTTATTTATTTTTTTTTTTGAGGAGTGCACAAATTAAGACAAAAACTGATAATATAATTTTGTGTATAAACAGCACACTTAAAACGAAGCATAACAAAAAAAAATAGCAATGCCTACCGTTTCCACGCCATAGACAATTGCACGCCCGCCCGTGTGAGCGTTGTTGTAGTAAAATTTAAGTCTATATGACTGGCTGCTAATCAAGTGCCATGCTACAGCTTAACTTTAGTATGTATGTATGTATTTAATCGTAATCAGCGATTTTTTTCCGCTCGCATTTCATCTACACTATACGCACACCCGCCTGATCGCAGTACTTCTGCAGTGCCTGCTTGTGATTATCGCCAATGGCAGCCACCAAAGTGGGCACTTCACCCGGACGTGCTTGTGCCAATTTTGCCAATGATTCGGCCAAGTACTTCCGGCCATCCGTAATTTCGGCTAGAAAATCTTGTGATTTCGGCTGCGCAAAGCTGAGCTGTGAAAAAGCGGCCTGATAGCCAGGTGCATCGTCAACTTCCACGAAATGATCGCCATCCAATGTAGTTTGATCGGGCGGCAGCTCGAAGAGTTCAACTAACGCTTGCAATAACGGTGACCAACGTTGCACATAGGGTGGTGTTAGCATTGGAGGGCATTCTGTGAGTATTTTGGCAACACCCACAGCTACTATTTTACGATCCATCTCCGATGACACCTTGGCCATGTCCGGTATGAAGACACGTTCGACAACCATGCCAAACATATTCGCCTGTATTTGATCGATCAGCTCAACCAAAGCGGGTGCGCCCAACTTTGCGGTGTAGTAGCAAAGGAAAACTATAATGCCGCGCACGTATTTGGTGGTCTTCGACAGCGAAAGACGCTGGAATAGCAAAGCGAATATCTGACGCATATTGGGCTGTAAATCGGCGGTTGGGTAGTAGGCAAGCAAATTTTGCATGAGATAGAATCCCTCATGATCATTCGATTTGGAGGCAATCATTTTCTGGAAAATACCCAATACTGCATTCTAAAATAAATTACAAGAAATTTCGTTAGCAGTATGTCTCCCGGATTCAATACGAATGAAGGTAATTACCAATTTGCCTAACGCAACTATTTGGGCAGCGCCTTGCCTGATAAATGCTGTTATAAGCCGTATAAGCGGCGTAACATTGCCTGGGCGATCCCACAGTGCAGGTACTAACAGGCAGGGAAAGAGCGCCCAGTATGGGTCAGGTATAGAGCCGCTGCCTTCGCGTATTTCCAGCAACAACGATAGCATTTGGAAAACGTAGGGCATGAATTCCAAAATATCTTGCTGCAAAATGCCTTGGAATACGGGAAATAGAGCTTCCTCAAAGGAACTAACAGCGGCGGGTTCTGTTTTACAAACAATTCTGAAAGCATAAATAAAATAATTTACAAGTCTTATGTTAAGGCTGCCAATTGCATACTCACTTTACGGCCAAAGAAAGCGTTTCGAAGAGATAGTGATTGAAATGCGGGCGTGATGGATTTTTCGCCACCAAAGTTAGAATTTCAGTTAAGCGCGGCAAAGCCACAGCCATATACGGCATGGTGGCTTCCTGCAATGTTGAAAAGCTGCGCATAATAGCTGCAAGTAGCAAGTAAAAATTTCTATTATATACAAAGCACAAAGGAAAGATATTTAAAAAAACACTCGTCCGCAAACCTTTCATCACATATTCATTTTCACTTGAACCCTGCAATGCCAATGTGCCAAAGAGGCTGCCAAGCAAATCATTTGTAAACGGCGCCAAATGCTGAGCGCTAATAATCAACTGTTGATTACTATCACGCATTACCAATATCTTTTCGATTGCACAAGCTGCATAACTGTGCACCACAACGCTCTCCGCCGGCAGGTGGCGTATTATGTGTGGAATGCAAGCGAGCAGTGTCTGCGGACCCAAAAGACTACGGAAAACCATGACAAATTTGATAGCAGCAGACTTCAAAACCGGTAGCTCATTGACTAGAAATTAAAAAATTTATTAAGGCATGCCTTGATGTGCAAATAATGAACCAAACTTACTGTTTGGACGTTCCAACTCTGGCACAATGTGCTGTGCACAAAATTGTGGCAGCGGTACCAATTCTGATGCATGTGTAATGCCATGTTTCTGTGTGCCGCCACGTGAAGCCAGTGATGTAACCAAATAAATCGCTGTATCCTTGGCGCGCCAATTAGCGAGTGGATTCTCTTTGTACTTGCCAAGCAGTATTTCCAAATATTGCCCGAATATTGCAAATATTTTTGCTTCGAAATTCTGACTTAATGTCTTTACGAGATCACAAGCCGCGCGGCGGCGTGTATCTATGTCAGAGCCTTCAATATCCCGGCGTATATACTCTTCGGGGCTGTCTTCGAATAACTCTTCATCGGATTGACGGAAATCCAAATTGGGTATGACCACTTTCTCACAAATATTGGCAAGTATTTCGGGATTTTCGAATATTTTGCGATAATGATTGCGCTCAGCGACCACTGAGAGAAACTGCAAAGCATTTGACACGAGCTGTAAAGAAAAATTAAAAAAAAAGATGGTTTTTACTAGTTGTAAGAAATTAGAAGTTTTACACTTTCTATACGCACCGCATCATATTTAGTCTGATTACCGGTCTTCACCAACAATTCCCACACAGCAGTTACAAATGTTTGCATATAGGAGCCGAACTCCTCATCGTACTTTTGCGCATACAAACCGATATTCTCACAGATTTGTGAACGCAAATGCTCCAATACGCCCGCATCTTCATCATCGCCCGTATGCAAACAGGGCAAATCGACCGTCAATAGCTCATGGAATGCCTTCATCCAGGTGGGCATATTATCTTCAAAGAATTCTGGCAAATCTTGCGAATTTAGCGAGAAAAATACTTTGCACACCAACACCAAGGAGCCATAAATAACCTTCAGCGCTTCCGTATTGTTTTCATGCACTTTGGCCAGCTGCATGGTGGCAAGCAATAAATCGGTCAAAGGTTTGGCCATGCGATCCAAAACCAATTTGATTTCTTCCCACAAGCTCTGAGATTTAAATTCGTAGCGATAACGCTTGAATAGGGAATGGGCCGTTTGTAAAACGCCATTAATAATATTAAAATCACCGGTGGCAAACTTTTCCACCATCTCATCGATGAGCTGTGGCCATTTCTTTGGAAAATCATGCTTGCCTATAATGCTTACCGCATCGCTGAGTTGTTTTTGCAATGCCGACGGCGAACGCAACATCAGCGTAACGATGAGCGTTTTAATTGCGTTACGATCATCTTGATGTATTTTATCTGGGCCGTCTGTGTCCTGTTGTGCGTGAAAATTGAGTAAAATTCTTTGCAACTTACATATTTATGCATATCTCAACAAAAGCTTACCTCATGCGCCGCCCAATTACGTTTCACATAGTTCTTAAATGCAATAGCACCGGCAACACGTATAGTCATATCCACTTCCTGCTTGTCGATGAGATTCAACAAAAGGACAGCATAATTACGCTGCACCTCAATTGATTCCAACAATTTTTCAGCTGTAACAAATGCAAGCACACATAAATTGCAAATATAGATATATATATAAAAAATTTTAGCGTATTGCTCACCTGGTCTTCGCACATTTGGATCGGGGCTGAGCGTCTGCTGCAAGTAGCCGGCTAATTGTTGCAAATTCGTCTCATTTATCTCCATATTTTTGTGGGTTTATCGGACTGCACAAAGTGTTAAATATAAGGTTATTGAATTTTTATTCCGAATTCCTCGCGCTATTTCACAAGATCACACACAATCAGTTGAAAAAATATAGGTAGATCGGCGGAATTTGCAAATCACACAATTGGAAACGAGCAGCAACGAATGAGCAGAAATGCGAGAAACGCGCGGTTGACGTCAGTGATCGGACTACAACCACATTGGCATAGATCTGGCACTACCACACAAGGTCTGAAAAATTTACCACATATTCGCGTTTTTGTCTTACAAATAGTATTTAACGGCAGTGATGTTTGCATTTTAGTTGAAACCTTAGAGAATTTTTTTAATTTTTGTACAAAGTGTGATCCAAGACCTACGATCTAGCACATTTTTTTGAAATCTGCCACGATTTTTTCCACGATATACCACACAAATTATAGGGAGTCCGATCACTGGTTGACGTGAATCGAAAACCGTTGCTTTTGCTATTTTGCTTTGTGCACATGTTCGCCTTATATGTACGACCGCATATGAAGTTGGGTGCGGTTTGTAGGCTAAAGTGAAATAAGTGACAGCCGTTTGCTAGTGATGGAGACGGGATTGCACAGTGTGTGGGAAATAATGAAATCATTGAGAAAAGTTAGTATTAGCTGATATATGGGACTCATGTTTGAATAATTTCCCAGTAAATATTTGATATTCTCCACTTCAAAACTATAGTTTACTTAAGAGAATTATCCTAACCATATATTTGAATATACATTAACTATTATATCCATTAGAAGTTGTGTCTTACTTCCTTTCCGATAAAAGAAATTATGGCTTCGAATAAAAACGTCGTCAGAGCAACGAGTATAGTGCCAAAGGTAAATTTTTCATATGACCCCCAGGGTTATCAAACTTGAGTCCCAGAATTTTAGGGTGGTCCGCGTTTTTGCACCATCGACGTTTAAACAAATCGAGTTCTAGCCCAATCTCCTTTGTCCAAGTTGTACAGAAGTGCGGAAATAGGTTTTGCGAAGGAAATTCTTTCGTTTCTAAAAGTGAAAGTTTGGTAAATAGGAATGATTTACAAATATTTATTTATTTAATCAAATGGAATAAAATCCTTACTGACTATAAAACAAGAGAGCTTATACACCGCCGAAAACTTACCCAGTTGACTACAACTGTTGACGTATTGATTTCGGCCAATTAAAGATTACGTCCCGTCGCGGAGAGTACGTGGCCTTAAGAGAACCCCTGTTCAGTTCTACGCGGCTTGGACCTGAGGTTACTAGATTCAACCTACCATTGACGTCCACACAGGCAGCTGGGTATCGTCCGAACTAAAAGCGACGATTTCTGGATGTCAGGATAATTAACTGTGTCGAGATTTCAGTACTGGAGATGCACATTCCGTTTATGTTGGTTGTCTATGTTGGTTGTCTGCCGGTCTATTCTCTAAAGCTGTCCCGATTGGCCTTTCGTGTATTGCTGTAGGTTTATTTCGCGATTTATTCACGACTATTTCGCAACCGGTTCGAGTTGTTATGAAAAAGTCGTGTACTGGTCCTAACAAAAGGAAATCAAATTTTTGTTTAATTTCTACGCTGGCCTACTTACATATATGATGTTTACACATCAAATTTCATGCGTGCCTGGTACTCGCGCTTTTTTGTTCCTTGGGTGGTCTCTTGCGCTGAAGAATTTTAGTGCATTTGCCGTTTTCTAAAGCAATTAAAGTAGTTAACCATTTAAAATCGAGACGCCCCCCTCAACTTATTAACTAACTTCTTTATTTCTCCACTTTTCCCCCCTACAGGAAATCCTCTCAGAAACATTTGGCATGTTCGTGCAAGTGACCAATATAATTTTGGTCGTCTTCCTGCCCATGGTCATCATATATCTCAAAGGCGAGACGTTCAGTTTAAGTAATTTCAAGAAGGCAATAAAAAAAATATCGTTGAAACTACTAACTATCAAAATTCTATTGCAGTTGGCGCATCAACCGTATGTTTTATATATTCTTTACTTTTCCTAAAACTTTGGAGTTATGTACAAACAAATATGTGGTGCCGTCAGACCTACTATCTCAAACAATACAATCCACGCGAGCGACGACCAAGCATAACAGTAGCTGAATTGCGTAAGTTTCTAAATCAAAAATTTCGCGATTTAACGGTGTCTGTTTCACAGATGTAAATCATTAATGAATTTTATAGGAAACGGTTTCGCGGGCGATGAGGTTGACGAGGATATACCTAAGCTAGTACAGTACCCAGATAATCTCTGTTATAAAGATTTATTCTACTTTCTGCTTGCACCCACGCTCTGCTATGAGCTAAACTTCCCTAGAACTACGCGTGTACGCAAGCGTTTCTTGCTCAAACGCTTACTTGAGGTACTCTTCGGCTTCAATGTTATTATGGCGCTATTTCAACAATGGATAATACCATCTGTACGTAATTCGCTTATACCCTTCTCAAATATGGAAATCGGTTTGGCCACTGAAAGGCTACTCAAATTGGCGGTAAGTTAGAGGTTTACGACAGGAACCGTAACGGTTAAAGTGTTTATAATATAAATCATAAGTTAACCGATGAAACTTGGTTTTTATTATTCGGATTAAATGTAACAGTTTTTTACCACTTTATTTTTTCGTTCAAGAATAATCGCTATTTTTGAATTATTAATTTCGATATTTTTTTTTTTATTTCTGATTTTTATCTATCCGATTATATTATAACCGTTACTTTCGGATTTAACTTTTTAAATCACAAAAGACTAAAATAGGTAATAAAAACCCAGTCTCTATTATAACGGTTAAAATGATCGAAAAAATAAAAGTCCAAAGTAACTATTATTTAAAAAAATAAAAAGCACAAAATAAAGATTAAATTTCAACGAAAAAATAAAAATCCAAATTTAACGTGTATTCTTGATTGAATAAATAAAAATGACGATTTGGCAAGAATTTAAAAATCAAAATCTTGATATTTAATGGTTATTTTCGGTCTTTCGGTCGCTGGTTTACAAGAATAACTTTTCGTATAAACAATCTAATCTTTTTTATTTCCGTGTAGTTACCAAATCATCTAGTTTGGCTGTGCTTCTTTTACCTGCTGTTTCACTCATTTCTAAATGCTGTAGGCGAATTATTACATTTCGCGGATCGTAATTTCTATTGCGATTGGTGGAATGCTAATAATATTGATACTTTCTGGCGTACATGGAATATGCCAGTGCATAGGTAAGAAAAATAATAAAAGGGTATTCCTCTTGATTGCTTTAAGGCTCCAAGGTTTAGCGGGCATTTTAAAATAAATATAAAAAAATGCTTTTAATTTTAAAATATTCTAAGTACATACAAATCGCACGTTTAAAAATATACAGAATTATTTCAAAATTTTAATTTTGTGGGAAAACGCAATCAAAGTTTAATCAATTCATACCAAAAGACAGATGGAAAGTAACATATCTTCGCCATTTTTGGGAAGTTACGTCATCTGTTAGGCTGAAAATATTCTCTTTACCTTCTTTACTGTGTATGATGAATTCTCCAAAATGGTAAATTTTGAGTTAAATCTTTGTATTATTAAATTTGCGATATTTATTTACAAAATTTTGACGCCCAACTTTATTTAACTCCCTTTAGGTGGTGCGTGCGACATCTGTATGTGCCAGTGGTGAAAATGGGCTACTCACCCGCGCAAGCGTCTACTATTGTTTTCCTAATAAGTGCTTTTTTTCATGAATATTTGGTGAGTCGAAGTCAAATTTGCATATCATTAAAGCTTCATTTCCCATTATACTTAACATAACATGCCATAACATTGCTCTCACTTCTCTCTTCTCGCAGGTGTCCATTCCTCTACAAACCCACAAAATATGGGCTTTTCTTGGCATGATGGGTCAAATACCCCTCTCTGCTGTATCTAAGTCGATTGAACGTAAAATGGGTCCACGCATGGGTAATATTATTGTGTGGGCATCGATAATATTGGGCCAACCGCTCTGTATAATGATGTACTACCACGATTATGTGGTGACGCACTACCATGATGCGTTAAATAGCACCGTTTATAATGAGGTCTAAATGAGTACTACGAGTATGCGTAATGCGTATTTTTTTTGCTTTGTGGATAGAAATTAGAACCGAGTACTTAGAATGCCATGCATGCAAGCTATTAAGTGTGGTAAATACATAGACAGAGTGAGATATAGACAATGCTTTTTTAAGCAAATTGTTAAACGGCGATCTGCAGTGACACAAACTGTTACTATAATTTGTAGGTTATATTTTTTTTTTACAAATTATAACTGATGCACAATACATACATATATAAGTTGTTTTTATGCTAAATTTGGAATGAATGAAGAACAATAAGAAAACGGAATTTTGTTTCCTTGATAGGCTTTTAGACATAAATTGAATTGTTTTGCATTTAAAGTAGATTTTGATTGTTACTCGTAAGTTACATGCTTTAAAATAAAATATGTACATACATATAGTAGTTGGATTAAGTTTTGTAAATAAAACCAAGCAAAGAAATAAAATAAAAGCTGAAGAGTGATTTAAGTAAATATTTTGTGAGTGATATTTTATTGTGATTTTATCACGCTGGAGGAAAACTTGATTGGAAGTGCTGGTGTAGTAATTTTTGTGGGCCGGACTATTTACGTAAATACAAAAATTAAAGAGCATTGTGTCCTTTAGTTACGCCAGTAAGAATGATTTATCCGTCCTTTTCTACTTAAAGACCAGCCACAAAGTCATCCCGCTTGGTCTATAGGTCATTTGTTATGGGAGTGATAAACTCATAAAATTTCCTCAACAGATCACAAAGCAGTGACTCGCCTCTTTGCATATCCAAGATCTCCAAGGCGTTTCTAGCCATTTATGTGCTATTTCGTTCACTTTAATACAGGTACCACCAGAATACGGGAAGAGATCTTCGGACCTAGACCGAGATCCAAAATCTTTGTTCCTAAGAGAGCATATATCAGGTGGTGGCGTACACTATTAGTCTAATCGCAGATCATACATTTACTTAAGAACTACCGAAATGATAAGATTCTAATTCCAAGTGATAGACAAGCAGCCTTTAAGATCCAGCTAGCATGGCCACATAGCCACAAGGGAATAGAGGGAAAGGGCATTGTGAACTGTCTTGCAAGAGAGACAGCAACTGATATTGCAATTGGCTCCACACCATTCCTCACTAAAGATCCAATGCTGTTACGAAATAGCGCTGAATGGAGAGAATTACATCGAGGGAACTTAAGTGGCGAAGGCTGCGACATGCGATGAGTTCCAACATTTAATCACCTTTCCGAAAGATAAACAAATAAGACTAAGTTGTATCTTTGCAGGACACTGGGGCGATGATTTTTGCCGTTTTTTGCGGCTCGATCTAAGAGATGACATTGCATTTTCCTGTTGCGTATGACTTCGTATATAGAAGACAGGAGAGGAGTTTAGACTGCATGTGTTCCCAATTTTAACAAATTCTCATGTAATGAAAACTGTTCCGAACTTTGTGAGTGATATAGGCTCAAAAATAAGTAGAGAGCAATAAAAAATCTCTTACAAATATCTATATGCCTACGTTGACGTGACTCAGGGATATTACTGAACAATTCTCAACTTCACCGCTTTGAATCCTCACTCTTTAAATACCAACGTAGCTAGTGGTTTTCCCTGATACAAATTTACTATTCTTTATAAGACAAGCGGTATTCTCTGCACTGCAGCTGTAAGTTATATGATAAGATCGCTTAATACGCAGATCCGCCGAGTAAAGACCAGCGTCAACTTTTTTTTAATATTTGAGCCATTGGTGTAGGTGTTTTATAATCGGTGAACTAGCGCCCCAATCTGTCCTAGTTGAAAACTCTAAATTAATATTGAAGTGCAAGTCCCAGAATAGCGTATAGTGATCGGTACCGCTCTCCAAGTCCTCTTTTTTTTCTGTGGGCTTATCAATTTGGACGATTACAGATAGCTGGCCTGATTCAAGCGATAGTATAAGTCGCCACGCTAAGCAACTTAACGTAATGGACACTAACCAGAGCCGTTTTTTCTTTATTAAAGTCTATGATTACAAAAACCCTTTCAAACTAGATTTACAGATATTTCTAACTGGCTGGATACGAACATAAATAAAGGTCATTAGTTATCGGACTAAAGTTTGCTATAAAAAAAATGAGATCTAGAAGGAGCGGAATCCAAATCGAGTCTTTTAAAAATGCAATTTAACTCGCTAATAGCCAGTTTCATAAAAGCAATTTCAGTGAAAAAATTTAATTTTTATTTGAATTTAATATGAAAACTAACGGAAGTAAAAAAATTCAAAGAAAAATTAACTTGGTAGGTTCTCTTATTTATATCAACTGCATATATTACTCAATAGTTTTCTTCCTTTTATTTTGGTTGTATAAAATTATTTCCTTTGCTGTAAAATTAATTAAATTTTCTGTTCAAATTTTTTTTTTATAGGAAAAGCAGCTGTTTATCAAAACTAAAAATGGATATGAGGACTTGCAATTTTTCATTGTCATTGTACAACGGTATACACACAGTAAAATTTTTTCGCCAAAAACACCTTTTGAGACACTGTATCCATCTCTAATTTCTAATTAGAACTAGGAATGTTCGATATTGTATCGATTATTCTGAATATCGATATTTCATGGCACGATAATCGATTTTTTAATCGATATTCCAAGGACGATATATCTAAGACATCGATACTTTACCCGCAATATCGATATTTAAGTTTACATTTATTTTTCATCTATAAAAAGGTGTAATGGAAAATACTAAAGTAGGTTTAATCAGCAGCTTGTGTGATTTATTAGGCTTTTAAGTTTGACACCCCTCGACAGTCGGGTCTACGTAACCGGAACGACACAGATTTATATCTGGCCAAGGACTGTCACTCCAGCAACACTCCCCCAAAATCTCTTTGGGGAATTTGTATGCTGTTACAACAACAACAACAGCCGGAATGCCGTTTTCATTCTCAGTAAATATACAAGATGGAAATAACACAATTAGGTGAGTTGATAGGCAGGTCTAATATTCTATTCAATTGGGAGTTAAATTTTCAGCATCGATTTTTTCGATATCGATATTGTTCAGTCCGATATATCGCCATATCGATTTTAGATGCAATGAATTAAATCGATTCATGATATCGATACTTTCTTAAATATCGAGCATTCCTAATTAGAACTTTAAACTCAGGAGAAATTACAGCACTAATTCGGGATTCTTTTTTCGACTCTTATCCGGAAGTGGAGTGTAAAAAGAAATAATTAAGACCAGAGTTGCGTTGTTAATTCAAAAAAAATTTGGAAATTTTTAGTTTTGTTCAAAAATTATTACAAAAATGTTAATGGGCAGATTTTCTTTAAAACACATATGCGCAATAAAAATAAAATTAAGGAAAACAAAAATTTTGTTAAAAGTAATGAGAAATGAGGCACTCAATACTTCTAAACGGTTAGTAGCCACATATCTGTATTATCATAAATTTAGTGCATACAGATTTAAACCATAGAGTAGTAATTATGATTCCACCATGGAGTAAAACTAGTAATATTTTTTCTACAACTTTTGAAACAACGTATTGATTTGTACATATGAAAATCCGCTAGCCTTGGCAACTCTCTCCCTACGCCGTCATCGTCTGTCCGCGTCGTTTCTTTTGTGCAATCGCCAATAGGTCTGTCTGTGCAAATTTTCAGCGTTCGCTCTTGTCAACGAATTTATCCGGATACATATTGCTGAATTTATTGCTTTTCCTCTATAAATTCATATTAATTTTTAATATAAGCGATTGTAAAAAGATCATACAAATATAGTGAAAGTGTTAACATCGCGCGAGAAGAATTTGCAAATAAATACTGGCAGCATTTTTAATTAGGTGTGTTTTTTTTTCAGATGCTTCCGTTGCTAGCAGTGCCGGCAGCGTCAGCAATGCGGCCTATGCCATTCTGCGCGGTTTTCGCTCCCCTTTTCAAGCGTTTTTTTCATCATATTGCTCCCAGCTGTGAGCAATTGCTGAGCTAGTGGTTACGAGGGGGAGACACCTTTATCGCTGACTGATTTTTTAATTACTCCCCATGTGATTAGGGGAACTCAAATATTGAACAAATACATAATTTTGTATAAGAAAAATGCTTCTAATTTCCAGAAGTTTGTGGCGCAGTCAACAAATCGTTCAATTAAGCAGATTTAGAGCACTCGAGACTTTAGCATCGAAGTCAACTGCACTTGTACAAGTGGGGAATTGTGAAGGGTTAACAGCAGCAGCACCGGCAAATCACGTAAGTACAGCAATTGTGAGCGTGGTTTGGGGGGGGGTTAAAAATGTTGAGTGCGAGGCAGATGGGCGTCGAACACAAATAAATTAAATATTCGTCAGTTGCTGAAAATTCTTACCTGAGCTAACGTCATTTCCACGTTTATTTCAGACAATGAGTGGACGTAACCGGGGTGGTGGCGGAGGAGGCGGCTTTCGCTATGGAGGTGGTGGTGGTGGGTATGGTGGCGGCGGTGGCGGTGGCGGTGGTTATGGAGGTGGCAGTTATGGGGGAAATAAAGGTTACGGTGGCGGCGGTGGAAGTGGTGGTTACAATGGTAACTACCGTGGCGGTTACAATGGCTACGGGGGCTCCAACAATATAAGTCCCTACAATGGTTTGTGAAGCTATGACGTAATGTTTTAATGACTTCTAATAAAACTTTTTTCCAGGTCCAGGGCCAAATGACTTAATGCAGCTAATGAGTGCAATGGCGAGTAATTTTAATATGAATCCGCCGCCCCCACCACCTGCACGCATGACATGCGGCGAGTTGCGGGGCAATCACTGTGGCATGCTGGTCGAGTTAACTGGGCGTCTAATCAAAAAGCGCGTTGCGCGTTTCGTTGAATTACGTGATCGCAGTGGTGGTGCATCGCAACTGGTCATTTTGGAGGATAAGGTAGGGTGGAGCATATGAAACACTAACTTATATAAATTTTTTGTTTGTTTTTTTTTTTTTTTTTGCTCACACAGTATCCACGTGTAGCACGTCGCATGCAGAATATGCCCGAAAACACCATGTTAACCATAGTGGGTGTGGTAAATCCACGTCCAAAGAATTCATGCAATCAGACTATGCCCACAGGCGATATCGAAGTGGAAGTGCAAGAGATCATGAATATTGACTTTCCAAGTGGTGGAAAGGGTATGGGCAACAAGCGCACTTACAGCACCATGGCGAAACAAAATAACTGCGGCATCACAAGCACTGAATACAAGATAGCCAGTAAGAAATACTGATAGTGAGCGTGGTTTTCTTTGGAAATAATACAATATCTTTACATTGCAGAAAGTGAAAATATTTTAAAGTATTTTGAGAACCGTGATATCAGTTGTAATGACTTGCGGCGCGAGGATATTGGAAAGACTGTGACGCTTGTAGGCTGGATACCACCATCAAAAACTTGCAAATTTTTACAATTGAAAGATGGTTATGGACAGACGCAAATTATAGTGGAAGAGCAAGCGGTATGCTATTCGCTTCTATTTATTTATTTGATACAGTAAGCTTTATTTTTTTTTTGTTTTGCAGATGCAAGACACTTGCCTCTCAGCACCAGAGGGCACGGTAATACAAGTCACCGGCAAAGTTTTGGGTAGACCGCGCGCTAACATCAATTTGGTATGTCTGATTTTGTTTAAACTAGTGACTCGATAACGAACTCTTAACCAATATTGTAATTTAGAAATATGACACCGGCGAGGTAGAAGTTATGGTCGATAGTGTTAAGATCTTGAATCCTGACGACCCCTATGATGGACCCATTAAAAACAAAGAGAAGGTGCAGAAATTGTCGATCGATGACTTGGAGTCCGATGCTACTTCCAAAAATGGGGATGCCGCTGTTGGTGCTGTCGGCAAAATTGAAAAGGCAAAAATTGCCGATTTGAACAAATTTGCTGGGCGCACGCACACTTGCGGTGAATTGAGCATAGATAATATTAATGAGAAAGTGACCATCTGTGGTTGGCTGGAATTCCAACGTATGGGTAAATTCTTCATACTGCGTGACGGTTATGGGCAAACGCAAGTGTTGATCACGCCTAAAGCCAAAGGCGTGGAAAAATATGCCGAAGGTTTTTCATTAGAGTCAATTATACGTGTCGAAGGTACGGTTATACCGCGACCTGCTTCCACCATAAATAATAACATGAAAACTGGTCATATTGAAATTGAGGCAGAAACGGTGGAGGTGCTCAATGCAGCTAAGAAAAATTTGCCCTTTGAGGTGCGGCGTTACAATCGTGCTGGCGAGCGTTTGCGTCTGACACATCGTTACCTGGATTTGAGGTAAATGTGAAGCTGCGTATATTTACACAAACAATGTATCAAATTTCTTTTTATTTATTTCTTCCTACAGATTCACCGATATGCAAAATAATTTACGCACGCGTTCCGCTGTAATTATGCGTATGCGTGAATATCTTATCAACTATTTGGGTTTTGTTGAAGTCGAGACGCCTACATTATTCCGTCGCACTCCTGGTGGGGCACAGGAATTTGTTGTGCCCACACGCAAGCCCGGTCACTTCTATTCATTGGTGCAAAGTCCACAGCAATTTAAGCAAATGTTAATGGCTGGGGCAATAGATCGCTACTTCCAAGTTGCACGTTGCTATCGCGACGAGGCCACACGTCCTGATCGTCAGCCAGAATTTACACAGCTCGATATTGAATTGTCCTTTACAACGCGCGAAGATGTCATGCAGCTGATCGAGGAGGTGTTGCGCTATTCGTGGCCAAAGCAATTTCCACCTATACAGACGCCTTTCCGGCGCATCACCTACGAGGAGGCCATGGAAAAGTATGGTACCGATAAGCCTGATACACGCTTTGGTTTCACTGTGAGTTGTGAAAATGAGTTTTTTGTTTCAACAAAGCAGAATTTATGCAATTTATTATTCGAAATTCTAGATGACCAATGTCACCGAAATTATTGAGAAAAACGAGACCTTTGCCCAGAAGTACAATGACCTAGCCGCCTATGCTATTGTTGTGCGTGGCACTGATGCTGTTTGGAGCAATGCTACGCGTAAACGTTACGAGAGTCTCAGCAAGGAATTCAGCTGCTCACTATTTGTGCGCAAATTTCTGGTAAGTTATTGCGCCGGTCGATAATCTTTTCTTAATGCACTAATCTATTTGACCCACCACTCTTCTCCCACTGCAGGAATACAAAGATGTGCTAGAACGTTTAACAAATTTCCTGACCAATGATGTGGCACGTGAGCTGATTGAGAAATTTGTTTTGGAAGAAAACGATTTAATATTTCTTGGCATAGGCGAAATGCGCGCAGTGGTATGTATGGCTTGGGTGTGCTTTGCCACACCACATTTCAATTGTATAACTAAGGGTGCATTCCAAAACGTCAAAATACAAAGCATCAGTCTCTTTTATTTCTAAACCTCATCAGATTGTAATGCCAAATGTGCGCAACCATGTTTAGATGCTAATTTTCAACTAGGTTGCGCAAGTCGGACTTTTTCTCCTAGTGCGGCTTAGAAATAAAAGAGACTGATGCTTTGTATTTTGACGTTTTGGAATGCAGCCTATTTCACCTTAACCCATTTTCGCAGCGTGCGCTGATGGGTCGCATACGCCTCGAATACCATGCCTTCCAATTGGAGAATACAAAGCGTGAGAAGAGGGAAAATAAATTCTGTTGGGTGGTAGATTTTCCCATGTTTGAGCGCAATCCGGAAACGAATGAATTGGAGAGCGTGCACCATCCATTCACAGCGCCACATCCTGATGATATGAAAAAATTCATGAACGCCAAGGAAAATGAACTTGAAGAGGTGCGTTCACAAGCCTACGATTTGGTACTCAACGGACAGGAGGTTGGCGGCGGTTCGATACGTATACACGATCGCGATATGCAACATTTTGTGCTCGAGCACATACTGAAAATACCGCATGAGCATTTGGGTCATTTGTTGAGCGCTCTGGAGTCTGGTTGTCCACCGCATGGCGGCATTGCACTTGGACTCGATCGTCTAATTGCGATCATTTGTCGCGCTCGCACAATGCGTGATGTTATTGCATTCCCTAAGTCATTGAATGGAGTTGATCCGCTCTCGAACGCGCCAGTACCGATTTCGGATGAAGAGAAAGCGCTCTATCATTTAGCTGTGATTGAGGATGAGAGCCAATCAACAGAGCATGCTGTTGAGGATGATGATCCGGATGCAGGGCGTGCAACGCCATCACCGGAACCAACCGATGGCATGGTGGTGGATGGTGATGGAGATATTAATGCGGATGCGGATGTCAAACCTTCTATTAGTGATGCTGAAGTGACTGTTGTGAAAGAAGAGAAATTTGATACTCCTGAAAAAATTCAACCAGCTGCGAAAGCTGCGGCAGCACCCATTAAAGCTGCGGCAGCACCCACTAAAGCTGCGGCAGCACCCACTAAAGCTGCTGATAAAACAGCCACTCCAGCAAGAGCTAAGCGGGTGGTAGCAGCAGTTGGCAAAAAGAAGTAAATTTAATTGATGTACATACATGCATGCTTTGCCTGACCATGCGCCAAGTGTTTGCGCAGAATTATATCTTTACGTTATTTATATTCTAATAGCTTTATTCATAAAAAATAAAGCAGCTTTAAAAAATATTTATAAATTGGAAAATGTGTGAAAACATCATTTTATAAAGCTTTTTAAAACTACTTTATTTTTTATGAACAAGGCCATAAGTATTTACTAATCCTTAAATTCAAAAGAACGTTGTTGTGGCATAGTCATTTAAAGCTAAACTATTTCGCAATAGATTAATAAGAATTTCGACTCGTTGTGCATGTCCGACGCACATGTTGAAATGTTTTTTACAATTATTTAGCGTAGCAAACATTTTTATTTTAAGTGAATTTTTTCATGCACTCGAACCATGATTCAATAATAGAAAGGTTTTGTAATAAAACAGTCTTCTCGCTCCCACACATAAAATCGGCTTCTTTACTTGTGCAGAATGTTGCTCACTCTACAGTTTTTAGTTATATTAGTAGTAAAACCAAAAATTCTTCATACTAAATATTCGTTGGCGTCACCTTCGTTTGTGTAATTTTCTCGAACAAGTCTAGAATAGCGACAGTTAAGCTATAAAATAACAAAAAATGCCGATTGATAGAACTTTTTACGCTGATTTCAACGATACCAAATTTATTTGGCGCAGGTAAAAAATAAAGAAGATATAAGAGGTTTATTTGTATTTTTTATTATCACTAAATTGTTGAAACCCAAAAGTAGATCATAATAAAATATGTAATATCGAATTAAAGATAATAACTTGTACTCTCTAAATAATATACATTTCTTTACCATTAATTATGCAGTTTTTTCAAAAAAGGTTATTTCATGAAAAAATTACATTTGTTCGTTTTTTTTTGTGGTTTTGGTTTAAAAATACAAAAAGCTATAAATTATGTACATCAGCTGAAGAACAAATTAATTACCTTTATGGTGACGTCATTAGTTTTTTAATCGGTTATTAAGTTCATAAGATATTAATATTTAAAATATCTAAAAACTGAACTTTAACCTTCTAGAACCTCTTCATTTTTTACTTGCGCCAAATCATTGTTGGTTGAAATGAGCATAAAAAGTTCTATTGATCTGCATTTTTCGTTATTGCACAGGTAAACGGTCGGTATTCTAGATTTGTTCCCGGAAATGACGAATAACTTAAATCAAAAATTCATATTTTTATGTATTATTTAGTATTTCAATTAAAACACCAAATATATTGCAAATTCGCATAGAATTAATAATACACATTTTACTTCTAATTGTATACTTTACGTACTTTTTGGTAGTACCATTCTACTACCGTTTTCGCAAAAGCGATCACATTCTTCCCCTTTCTCCTACTTCCAAAATACAAATCTAGTTAAAGGAGTGTCAAATTTTAGCTGTAACAAATTACACAACCTTGTATTATTGAATCGAGCACTCGAACCATCAAATCAAAATGGCTTTTAACAAAATGACACAGCATTTGCTTATTTTATTAATTTAATATAACACAAAGCATCGCTTAAATATAAGAGAAAATTATAATGGAGACAACAATAAAATTATTTGAAGAAAATTCTAAATGTTTGGTGTCATAATTGTCAATTCTCTGACCAATATTAAAGAGTCGAATCCAAGGAAGAGCTGTTTTTATAACCTCAGCAATCTTTGCCTATGTAGTTCATCGGACCTACAAATAGGGAAAAAGTCTAACAGGACAATTCTGGCAACTGCCTTTACACTCACAACAGTCTTCCAATTCTGGCAAGTATCCTGACTGCATTTTTCAGTCCTTCGAAAGACTAATTGAAAGATCTGCTGTCGAGGAGTTTGTTGTTGTAGCGGCTACTAAGCCCCGTTCGGGGCGGTTCATCCATTAACGTTGTCGTCTATTTCAGCTAGGGGGAGGCCCAGGAAGTGTGCTACTTCCAGAGGGGCTGTCCATAGGGACAGGGGCGTTAGCTGAGTGGGATCCTCAGGGCATGTGAAGAGGTGCCGGGAGTCATGTGGCGACTCTCCACATGCCGGGCATTGGTTGGGCACATCCTCGTTGATTCTGCTCAGGTAGCTGTTGAGCCTGCTGCAATAGCCAGAGCGGAGGTGGGCTATTGTAGTGCGGGTCTCCCGAGGCAGACAAAGTTCTGTCCCGTCCACGTCCGGTGGTTGTGTGCCTAGAACGGCATTCACAGGGCGGGAGTCTACATAACTTGAGACTGATTCCCTGTGAATGCCGTTCAGGGCCTGTCGGTAGGTTGACGGGTCCAGAAGTTGTTTAATATACCTCTGGACTTCGTCTGTCAGTTCGTAAAGATGCCTCCTGACGTGCCGTGACGAGGGCTCTTCCGCGAGCAGTTGCCCGCTGGGATGGCCACGTCTGTGGCTCCCAGCGAGGAACTGCTTGCAGAGCATTATGTTATGCTCCTTTACTGGGAGCATCTGGGCCTCGTCGTGAAGGTGGTGTTGCGGCGTCATCAGGAGGCATCCTGTCGCAGTTCGTAATGCCGTATTTTGGCAGGTCTGCAGCTCCATCCACTGCGTCCTGCTAGTCCCCGGCGACCATACGGGCGCTGCGTAGTTCAGAACCGGCCGGCCAATTGCCTTGTATGTTGCCAACAACGTTTCTTTATCTTTGCCCCAAGTGCTGCCGGCCAGCGACTTGAGGACATTGTTGCGGCTCTGTACTTTGTTGACAATTGCGGTTGTATGCGCCGAGAAGGAGAGCAGACTGTCGAAGGTAACTCCGAGGATTTTCGGGTTATTCACCGTCGGTATTGTTACGTCATCGACGTGAATACCCAGTGGCAGTCTGACCTCCTTCGTCCAGGTGGTGAAAAGGGTTGCCGAGGATTTCGCAGGGGATAGGGCAAGGCTCCTTGCAGTGAAGAAGCGAGAAAGTTCGGAGAGGTAACCGTTTACTTTTGAGCACAAGTCATCAATTCCATTCCCAGACGCCATGATCGAACAATCGTCAGCATCTGCTGTCGAGGAGGTTGTTGTTGTTGTAGAGGTCTTAGCATTATTCTGTTCTTTATAAACAGTACACTGGGCTTTTAGCCACAAAGAGCCTCCAATTTCTGGGATGCCACTTTTTCGCGCGCCTAGACAGCTTGTAAGATCTATTGTACCCTCTTGCTCCTTACCACACGTCACTCATTCCTAACTCCCTCCTTAAGAAGTCCAAGAGGATGTTTGGTGACAACAAGTGCATGTGATTCGGCAGCGGGCTTAATACTCGAAGGTACTTTTCTTGCCTACACGCCACTGCGGCGCACACGTGAAGTATGCCCTTAGAAGTCTCAGCTGCCCTGTCAAAGAACCGTAATACATTGCAGGGCCAGGTGCCGAGTTTACGTAAGTGACTTCAGAAGCTACGTACATTCACTCGTTGACATCACTGAAACTATTTGAATTTATTAGGGCTTTAAGGTTAGACGAGGTTTTGCGAACTATGGTCTCTTCCATTATACGACTTTCTTCAATCCATCAAACGATTTTATGTTTCCATACTCACCACAGTCCCAAATTTTTCGCCCTTCATAGCTCTAATATCAATCTAAAAATATAGATCTTTCCATTTTTTATCACTTTATTTCATTTACTCGCGGCTGTCTACTTATTTTCTTCCCCTTCAGCCCTTCCCCTTCAATATGAGGCACTTTGAAAATACTATTCTCTACATAACCATTAGTTAAATTTCGTCGATATTCATGCCACGCCACCTGAGTTTCTTTCTCATTTTTCGTCTCCTCAAAACTTTGTTCCTCCACAGAATTCACAGCCTGCTCCACCTTTGCATTCTCCGAATCTTCGGTTATATCACGCGTGCCAACGCCACTAAAATACGTCCAATTTTCACCATTGGGATCTTGTGAAAATGGCGTTGGCGTTTGTTCAATATTATTGAAACTCGTATCCAATTTATTCCATTGATCGATTTGACGCAACAATGGATCCTGGAAACCTGCTGGCGGCGGTAAAGTAATGGTAATTGGCGCTCTAGTAACGCTCGGTTTTTGTTTGCCCAACGTTGGCAAGTCAGTCCATTTGCCTAAAGCATAAGGCGATGTATCATTGGTCTCGACAAAAAACATACCCTTCGTGCTGGGTTTTATATCTTCGCCTGCCTCGAGCAGATAATTGGTTGGCGGACACATACCGAGCAAGTAGGAGATGTACGAACTGCAAGCCCAACCCCAGAAACCTTTGCGTG